CCGCCGGATAGCGCGCAGACACTATGGGAAGCAGACGAACGGGCCGACTGGCCGTGAAATAGCGCTACTCATGCCTGTGCGCGACGTGCGTACGCGGTGGAACTCCTCTCACGCCATGATCAAGCGTGCAGTCATCCTTGCTGAGGTATTTTCAATTTCAGCTGGTGTATGCGTCGCTGACATGACCTTAAAGGCGATTGACAGCTGGGTCTGCGAGCACCGTGAGTTTCGGACCCTCATTCTCGGGCCGTCCGACTGGAAATTCCTGACGGAACTGGGTCAACTTCTGGATGTTGGTCTTCCTCCTCCTTCCGAGACAAACACGCCTAACACCCTGCTTGTTCCTCCTGCAGATATTCAGCGAGGTGACTCTACAAATGTCGCACGCGAACATCCCCACGATCCCGTTTGTTCTACCTCTGTATCTCCGTATGAAGCAAGTCCTTCAAGCGCATGTGCTCAACCCGTCCATCCTTCCGCAGCTGCGCACCGCAGTTCTGGCCGGCATGCAAAAGCTTGAGAAGTACCATGCCCTTGCCAGGGATAACCAATTCTACCGTCTCGGCACCAGTGTGTACATTGCCGTTCCCATTTAACCACCACTCATTCTATATCATAGTGCTCCATCCCGCGTTGCGCTCCAGATGGTTTTCGATGACCGCACTCAACGAAGAAACATCAACTGAGGAGGAGAAGCTGACGAGCCAGCAAGAGGAAATCGAGCGCGCCGAGGCTCTCTTCCACTACGTCGCGAAGACTGCGTACAATGTGCTCCCCACCCCGCCAGCTGCGGCGGCCCCAGCTCCGGACTCGGCGCCCGCGGCGGGGAACTCCTTCCTTGCAGCAGCGTGCGCTTTCAATATCCCACTCCCGACAGCTTCGGCGGCGACTCGTGGCTCCGAAAGCGTCGAAGAAGAAGTCCAACGCTATTTCAAATTTGATGGCGCTGTATGTGATCTGTTCGACCCACTTGGTTGGTGGAAGGTACGCGGAAGCCGCTGAACTATGACCTCCCACTCACTCTTTTTCAGAGGCACGGCGAATCATTCCCCCGAGTGGCTCGTATGGCTCGGGATTACCTCGCCATACCCGCAACAAGCGTATCGGTGGAGAGAGTTTTCTCCAAGTCCCGCCACATATGTGCAGACTTGCGTAGCTCTCTCAAGGCTGACACCATCCGGGAAGCTCTCCTTACGAAGACGTGGATCCGTGCTGGCCTTCTGGACATGGTGCATCCGGACGACAGGCCGCGCAAGAAGCGCAAGCTCGATGAGAAGGGCGCGGGCAATGCGTAGTTAGAAACAGAGATTTTTGGCCGTTTTCGTAACTGTGTAGCAATTACTGGATAACCCTATATATCCGGTATATACCGTGTATGAAACTGGATCTGGATAGATATGCTCCGGGGAGTATCCGTATCCTATATGGTTGGAGCCTTAAGCACAATGCTCGGGGACGCGAGCAAGCAGCCCCATAGTGCACTTGGGCCACTTGGTGATGACAGTCAAGCGCAAGTCACGTTTGTTGATTGATGGCCCGAAATAGTGCTGGCCAAAAATATGATACGCCAAAATATATTTTGAATATATTCAAATACATACAAATACGATATGGTCCCACAGCGTGCAGTTGAATATGAATACGGGAGAATATGAATATGATAAAATATGAATATAATATGATACGACAGTCGGTGTATTCAAATATATTCAAATATGTTTGTGTTGCATTTTCTGCCACCCCCAGTGCTGCACAGTCAATTAAATTGAACATAGCTGGACCTCCTGCGGTGCTCAGTTCGGCTCACAGCCGCTATCTCCACAACAGCCATCAGATATCAAATATTTGCCGATCAAATGATCTAGTTTCGGGTGCTTGATCTCCTTAATGAGTGATATTGACTCTGGTTGAAAGCATCCTGAGCTCAGTTAAATGAATGAGGTCTTTTTACCCTCATACCGGATAAAGTAAAATATCAATCTAGGTTAGAATGTTAACTGAAAGTAGTGGAATTGGTAGCTAAATTAAACTTGATAGAAAGTTTTTCTATTCTTTTGATACGAAATTGACACGGCCCGGGAATTAGCTTCGATCAGTGGCTCTTCACAAGCTATGGCTTTGTTCTCTTCCTGTAAACTAAGAAAGCTAAGAAAGAAATTCAGTTGCCAGTGCCTTTAGGGATATTGAAAGAAGGGCTTTCCTCGTAACAATCAAACTAGAACCAAAGGAATGTTTGATTGTTACTCCAAAAATCTGTCTTTCTTCTCCCCTGAAACGGGCTGCCAAATGTTGGCCTTCCAGCAATACAGTCGCTAACCGTGAAGCGCAACAACACCACGTAGCGCAACATCGCCACACAAGCCGGCCCCGAACACACTCCCAGCGTACTTGGAGCTCATACCCCCATTTTCAAGGTCGTTGAAGACGATGGAACACATCCCGAATGATGAATCTTGTTTTTGGGGGCGGAAATACGGGTTTTATTGCGAAAATAGTGAAATTTTGACTTTTAAGGAGCCTTTTTGATGTTGTCTGCGATGGTGGCACCGCTAAACTTCAGCCAGGCGTAGTAGGGTATCAGGTCTTCCAGCAAAGAAAAAAATCCCACTTAAAAAAGTCAGTTATACCTCGAAAGAGAGCCATGTTGAATGCTCTATCAGCCAAATACTGATTGCGATCAATATTTCCCATTGTCTTTTGAGTGCTAAGGGCTTGGGAAAAAAAGTCGAAGTACATAGAGATGTTTTCTGGGCATTGGTGCCATCTACTGGGTCAAAATCCGTACCTGGTGGTCATAACTGTGCGCGGTAAGTTGTTGCGCTTCGCGGTTATTTGGCAAATTTGGCCCTCGCCAAAGATTGAGCTCGATTAAGTTAGCAGGACATTCGATCACCTGGGGGTAAATTGGAGGGTGGATTCCGTGACTGTAAGAGTCATTTGACAACTTAGAACATGGAATTCCGTTGAGAAATGACCGAGATCCAGGCTGCGCAATCTAAATGTTGCGCTTCCCAGTTAGCGACTGTACTTTCTCAACTTGCAGACAGTGGACAAAGAGCCGCTGTTCGAGGCTGATTCTGTGTCAATTTCGTATCAAAAGAATAGAAAAGCTTTCTATTAAGTTTGATTTAGCTACCAATTTCACTACTTACAGTGAACATTCTAACCTAGGTCGATATTTTACTTTATCCGGTGTGCCTGTTCAAGTGCATTTCATGGCAGGTTTTGGGTCGGAGTCAGCCATAGAATATATTCAAATATATTCAAAATATATTCATATTCACCTCTAAGAATATGAATATGATACACTACAAATACGATATGACCCGGAAGGAGTGAATATGATACGGATATGAATACGATACACCAAAACCTGTATTTATATCATATTTGGCCAGCACTAGCCCGAAACGGCCCGACGACCCAGCATCTCAAAATTAAGCAAATACATTGAATATATTCTACGGATATCCGTGGGCGCCTGAAGCCAGACCCGTACTTGGGGCATCCGTGGGAAACGAATACTTGTATCCGCGGATGGCAAACTCGCGGATGACGGATGACGGGTACCCGTGCCAACATCCGCGGGTTGCTCAACTCGTGCGGAGCTTTACCATGTACCATGAGGTTCTCATCGGCATTAGCTCGCTAGACATACTTAGAGAAAAGAGAGGTCGTTGGCGCAGAACATCACATGCTTGACCTCGAACATCTCGCTCGCGCACTTCGCGGCCATGATCGCTACGCGCGTCGACGTTTGCGCCGGTCGACGCGGTCTCGGGTCACACTGGCAGGTGGCCTCAAAAAGAAAGGGTTTCAAATTCTTTTTTGGCCATGAGAATCCTGGGTTCTGAGTGCGACTGGTGGTTTTCGGGCAATGCACCATGAGGTGCAAGCGAAGCGCAGAGAGAGCAACGATGGGCTGATCGCGCAGTGACCGGCACAGATCACGCCGTGCATTGACGGCCCGACGCGGCTGCTGGTGATGCTTGGCAGGAGCATTGTTGTCACTTAGTCATGCACGACACATCCATCAGAACCCCGACTAAATCCGCCCGGGTCCGAACGTCCGATAAGAAGATTCTACTGTGGACTCGGTAGCCATCGAGTGTCATGATGTCATTGTTACTCAATGCTGAAAGCATGCACAAAATTAGGGCGGGGTAATATTAGAATTCCGGCTGGTAATTTACTGTATCTATTCTCGGGGGTCTTCGTAAATTACAAATGGCTTGTAATTTACCGTAATAAATGGTGCCGCAGGCCGCAAAATTTTACTGTAATTTACGGTAATAAACACTTGTAATATTGGTAAATTTTGTAATATTCTGTAAAGTTTACCACCCAGCACAAACCCAGCATCATCACTACCCCATGCTACACTTTGGGCGGTCCATTTGGGCTTCGCTGCCAATAGTTCTGGACCTCTGTGAAGTAGTCATTGATTCTTGAAGGCCGCTGCTTCAGGAAGATCCACATATTTCGTGAGTATTTCGTGCCGAAGACATTGATTAAAGACTCTGCAAGTTCTGCAGTGCCCATATCCTGTGAGGTGTCCAGGTAGGACTTCGCAATTACAAAGAGCATGTTTTACTGCTCCCTGACCATGTTTCCAGCTGCCAGTCGTTCGCTCGAGGGCTTGAAAAGAGAGAAGGCAATTTTCCTGATGAGTCATGATTGTTCCGTGTCTTGATTTGGTCTGTTCACCGGGCAGCAAAAAGGCTGTCGAAATCCATCATTTTTTACCACTGAAAGTTGGGACAGCTTGTAGTAGGTATTAGGAGCAATACAGTATAATCTCACGAAACTTTACGATTTATTACATCGGAAATTGAGGGTGCCTGGTAAACAATGTAAATTACATGTAAATTACATGTAATATTTGATCTGTAAATTACACATCCAAATAAAACCCTGCACTAGAAAATATTGCTGTATAAAAATGTTTCGTATTTCTCCAACTGACCTTTGAACGGCAAGTCACAGAAATCAAAAGTAAATGCCCACTAGCTGATTTGAACAACTGATCTTGTCATTGTATATCGATCAAACGTGGAATACAAGTGACACGCCTTACCACTGGGCCAAGCGGGCAATAAATACTGGTCGACAATAGCCTTCGAATCACTAAATGCATGACTAACGGTCAGAATCATAAGATTATCCACACCCCACAATCAAATACTGTACATATAAGCGTTGTCACGCCTCTATGGCGCGTCTGCTCACAGCCAAGGCCGAATAAAAATGTGATACGGCTAGCAGGTGGATTGAAGACGTAGGCATCGAGTGTCATGATATCATTGTTCCAATAACTATTGCAGTATAAAAATGTTTCGTATTTCTCCAGCCGATCTTTGAACCACAGAAAACAATAACGAAAGTAAAGTGCCCACTAGCTGATTCGAACAACTGATCTTGTCATTGTATTTCGCAGTTCACCGAGCATACGAGTGACACGCCTTACCACTGGGCCAAGCGGGCAATAATTACTGATCGGCATGAGCCAATATAGCTCTAATAGATTGGCAGATAATTAGACACGGTCAGAATTCCACACCCCACAATCAAATTACAAGCACTGCAGGCCTACAAGACCTTGAGCGCCCTCAGCCAGTTCCACTTCCCGCTCCATTCCACCTCCGCACAGTCGTCCTCCGCCGCGGCAATGGCACGCACCGGCAGCGACGCGAACAGGCTGTCCCGGCTGTCCCGGTGCCGTGTCAGCTGCCCCAGGCTGTCGCTTCGGCGGTGCACGCGCTGCGGCGAGGGCGTCGTGGACGCAGGAGCGCGGCTCGACATGGAGCGCCCGAGGGGTCTGCCGGTGGGCACGGGCCGCCGTGGTGGTCGTGCCGCTACGTCGTCCTCAGAGACAACAACAGATCGCGCACTCGCACTGCTGGCGAGAACTTGCGTACGGCGCCGCTGTACATACATATACGCGTTCTCACGCCCTTATGGCCAGGCCAAGGCCTATAAAATGTGCGGCTAGCAGGTGGGTTGAAGCTTCGAGGAAACGTAGCCATCGAGTGTCATGATGTCATTGTTACTCAATGCTGATAGCATGCACAAAATATTGCTGTATAAAAATGTTTCGTATTTCTCCGACCGACCTTGAACGGCAAGTCACAGAAAACAAAAACAAAAACAAAAAGTAAAAATGCCCACTAGTTGATTCGAACAACTGATCTTGTCATGAAAATATCCACGTATGACACTCGCAAAGTTTGGTGACACGCCTTACCACGGGGCCAAGCGGGCAAATATTGCTCGACATGAGCCAATATAGCTCTCATAGGTTGGCAGATAATATCACTAAATGCACGACTAACATAAGATTATCCACACCCCACAATCAAATACTGTACATATAAGCGTTGTCACGCCTCTATGGCGCGTCTGCTCACAGGCAAGGCCGAATAAACATGTGATACGACTAGCAGGTGGGTTGAAGACGTAGGCATCGAGTGTCATGATATCATTGTTCCAATAACTATTGCAGTATAAAAATGTTTCGTACTTTTCCAACCGACATTTGAACGGCAAGTCACTGAAAACAAAAAATGCCCACTAGCTGATTCGAACAACTGATCTTGTCATTGTACCGTCTGAGCTCACAAGGACATACGAGTGACACGCCTTACCACTGGGCCAAGCGGGCGACAAATATCGTTCGAGATGAGCCATTATAGCTCTAATAGATTGGCAGATAATTAGACACTATCATGAACAAGTCTATACGAATTACTAACGGTCAGAATCATACCCCACAATCAAATTTTCGAGCACCGCAGGCCTACAAGACCTTCAGCGCCCTCAACCAGTTCCACTTCCCGCTCCATTCCACCTCCGCGCAGTCGTCCTCCGCCGCGGCAGCGGCACGCACCGGCAGCGACCGTGACGCGAACGCGAGGCTGTCCCGGCTGTCCCGGCCCCGGCGCCGTGTCGGCTGCCCCAGGCTGTCGCTTCGGCGGTGCGCGCGCTGCGGCGAGGGCGGCGTGGACGCAGGAGCGCGGCTCGACATGGAGCGCCCGAGGGGTTTGCCGGTGGGCATGGGCACGGGCCGCCGTGGTGGTCCGAGTCGTGCCGCTACGTCGCGATCGTTTTCAGGGAGAACAGATCGCGCACTCGCACTGCTGGCGCTGGGGCGCGCCACGCGCGCGAGCGTCGCACCGGCGAGGGCGAGGGTGCTCGACGCGCGGCGCAGCCCGGGGCCCGTCCGGGCGTGTGAGGGGGAGAGGTACACCGGCGCAGGGGTGGATATCGACTCGGATACGGAATGGGGCGGCACGGGCAAGGAAATGAGATCCGGCGTGATGTTCTCGCCCAGGGTGCGTGTGAGCTTGGCGGCGTGCCGGCGGCGCGTTTCTTTCGTGCTTGGGGCGCAGGAGACGTTGTCCAACCCGAGGTTGGTTGGCGAGAGTGTCGCGGGGGTGAGCGGCGGGGAAGGTACTGAGGCGTCCAAGTGTGCGGACCGAGTTGACGTGCTGGAAAAAGAGAGGGGTGAAGCAGGCAATGAGCCACTCTCGATGTATTCATCGTCATCGTCCGGCGCCACGCCACGACGGGGGAGGACAGCCTCGGCGACGGCCGCCCCGATGACCTGCGGCGCCTCGCCGAGGAGAGCCTGCAGTTTTCTGTTGGAGCGCACCAGGCGGCTTCTCTCAGACTTGGTGAGCGCGTTTTGTGTGCGGGAAAGAGATGGGAGGGACATGCGGGGTGAATGGGCCAAATGCAGACTTTAATACTCGGCACTGTAATCGGAAACGGTTGCAAAGGAGTCCATTCCGCCGCATTGCAACGCGCTTCCGAGTTGTGACCCCTATGCGGAGATTATTGCGATCGATGAATTCGATCGGCACTAGTCAACACTACCTGATCGGCACGCAGTTAAGGCTGCCTCGGACGAGATCCGGTTCCAACCCGAACCGGCCGGAGAGTGGGATTGATGGGATCATAAACACTGTACGGCCATCAATTTGATATCAACGGCACGCTGGCGGCAGTGTTCCCATTCACTCACTTGACGCACAAGTCCAATAAATGAACTTGACAATAAATTACTTCATCCATCCCCTCCGGCGCGGTCCTTTTAAGAGATCACGCGGCCCTGGATCCGAATCGGAGATTCGGATGCGATGTCGAGATCCGGAGATGCGGTAAAACCGTAAAAGAATCAAACGTTCCATGGCTACTAGCGCTGTGTAAGAAAGTCAATGTTAAATAACACCCCCTTTCTAACACCGTTATTAACCGGTAAATTACGTTTCTCACATTTGAGGTCCTTGGAGGCATGTAATTTTTGTGTGAGAAAAGGGGCTGTCTGAGGCACCAAATTGACCTCCCATACAGATTCTGGGGGCTCTAAAGCGCTGCTGAGTGCTTTAACAGCGAGTCTGAGACCAATACAGGCTGGTTGGATTTTTGGGCAAAAATCAGACAAAAAATCTCCAAAAACACGCGATTTGGGTGCGCTTACGTCATGTTAGAAACCCTGTTATTAACATGCCCATGTTAAATAACATCGAGAGGGTTTCTATCTAACGTTACTCACACCGCCAATTTTGATTCTTACACAGCGCTAATGGCTACGGTATCTTTCGCGTGCGGCTTTTTCGCCTGAGCGAGTGGAATTTCCACAGAAAATCGAGAAAAATGCGCGGAAAATTTGCGGGGCCCAAATAGCTGCTCCATTCACGTCAGAGAAAGGCGGGAAAGCACGGAAAACGTCTGAGAACGTATCTGTGGAACCTCGGCCCCCGGCGGCCATCACGCCACCACCACTGATTGTTCCCCAGGGATGGGTCGAAGTGGAGCCATGGGAATGGTAACGCACTATAGCGCCACTGTTTCGTTTCGTGCTATTTCTGTACACGCAGAAGCTGGTGGTTGCCCTGTTGCCCTTCGCTTCGCGGAGGTTGCATCTTGCCTGAGCGAAGCAGGTGCAACATGCCTCACCGTACCTGTAGAAAAGGACTCGAAATAGAGCGTGTTTCATGGGGAACGCGGCTAACATCCCTTGTTTCTCATGATAAGGCTGTAAGGCCGGCAAGCGGCAGGGCCCGCTACCGGCCTCTTTTCAACTTCAAGTCTGAAAACCAGCTGGGTTTTTGGTGACTTCTACATCAACCAAAAACTATGGCAAGTAATGGCTTCACCCCGAGCCGGCTCCGAGTCAGAGAAATCTAATCCGCGGCATGCCACGGTTGATGCCGGAAGCTGCAATTGTGATGCGGCATCAACTTTCGCGACTCTGATTGCAACGGCCAAGATGCCGATCACCCAGTAGCCATATATGTATATGGAAAAATGCTGCATTTTCAGGGGAAACCGAGGCACCATTGGCTGATCGTTGTGCAACAGCCTCTACAACAGCCGGTGAAACCGAAGCAAACTGAGCGGCCACCGAGGCGAAATTGGAACAATTAATCTTCAAACTTGTGTGCAATAGCATTTCATCAGACCGTTGGAACCACTCAGGTACACGTCAATGGACGTGGACTTGGACGTGGACTTGGACCTTGGACGTCCGGATTAGGACGGTCCGTTACAGAAGGTAACGAGCATCACTGAGCTCGTCACGGACATCACACTGCATCCATAAATCTGCGCCGCAGGTCCACGAGTTCGACCTCATGGACCGTGTCCATGCGCTGCTCCCGCTTACGAGGTCGGTATTGATGCGCCGCCCGCCGTCAGATCATTTTTGATCGGTTCACACAATTACACCCAAGAACCGACTCCCAAGTGCTACTCTATTTAAAGATAGAGCATGCCTCTGCAGACTGTAATTCAATCCTCATGCCCTACTCAAACCCGCTTGAGTCGGATTGACTTCGAGACGTCCATCCACTTGAGCTGATTCGTCTCGTCAAACCCACACTGTGCTGGAGCCTGGCAGTCGAGCACAACATTCGAGCAAAGTGCAAGTCGAGTGCAACATTCGAGTAAAGCGCGTGCCGAGTCCCAATCCCGCCCATATGCCGTGGCCCATTGTGTGCCGCCATCTGTCCAGCGACGGCGGTGGGGTAGCCTGAGCTACATCGATAAACGTCGTAGCTGAGCTCCCTGGCGGTCTTGAAGGAGCAGGAAGGGCGGGGCGGACGACGAGAACGGAGAAGTAAAGAGGTCAGTGCCAGTGGCCGTGCAACATCATCAATTGTAATACTCATTACGTCTGCGCACTTCAGGCCGATGTCCATGCTGAAGTCCATGCTGAGGTCCATTCTGAAGTCCATCTTCACGTCCATACAATATCCATACTCAAGTCCATTTCCAGGTCCATGTCACGCTCGACTCGGGCCATGGACCCCATCATTTGATCGTGTCCAGGTCCAGGTCCATGGACACGTCCAAATGGACGTGGACCCGAGTAACGCCAATGCTCTCCATTTCATGATGGTGGATGATATTGAATGCAGTAAAAGCGAAGGAACTGTGTTCCTTGAACCTCGAATCACTCAGACTGGGTAGATGCTTGATATGGCGCTTCAACGATACGGGTTCCTGTCGACGCGAATCATTTGGGCCACCAATCCCATAGGGAAAGAGTGTCGGAAATACCTGAGGGAACAACAAGCTGTCCTTCCGAAACTCATTCTCAGGCTCCTTATTGTGCAGTATGTCATTATAATTTAAACCCCCGCCTTTTCTCTTAACGTGGCGTAGCGCAGCAGCACGGAGTTCATTCGAAGAGGCATGGCAGTCTATGTCCGTAATCACCACATTCTGGAATTGCGGATTGATTCAGAGCATGAAGCGCAGGTGAACATTGAGAGTGTGGAAGAACTAGTTTGGTCTCGAAAGTTTTTGACCAGCTTGTTCTTCACAGATTGAGGAATTATCTGTGGCCATTCATCGTGGATACTGTAGTATTTTATTCAATTTGTATGCCGATTTTGGTGTGACATCGGATACGAATTTTTCCATTCGTATGATCCGGATCAGTGCTGTGACATACGAAAATTTTCGTATTCGACTCCCAGGCGCTCCTGGCCATCCAAAAGCGCCCGCGACGTGTCGCAATGCCTCTCATAAGCGCACGCCTGCAACTTCTCCGCATCCCACGGGCAAACTACGCCAAACTCTTCCTCACATTCAAATTCGCCGCCCAGCGAGTTGAATAAAATACTACAGTAGTTTGCAGCTGTTCAGCGTGTCGACATTGCACTTTGATCTTCTGTTCAGCGGAGAAGCAGACCTCTTACCGCGTGTTAATTGAGTGATCCGCTCCTTGAGCTTTCGGTGTAACTGGCTCTTCCTGTCAGCAGTATCAAATTGAATGTTCAAACTACATGTATTGCAGAAAGGACATATAGGTACAGTTCAGAGTCCCCAGAGTCCTTCTGCCATTCATCACAAAACAGCTGCGCAATCAGGCACATTGAGATCGTTCCCAGTTTCGTCGTCACATTCAACTTCAACTCCGGAGAGGAAGCAGGATCCTTCTGCACTCAATCAAACTCAAATTAGCATGGGGGAGAGGGTGATGTATTGATGAGATATCGGAATGGAATACAGATGTACGTGCGCGGGTGACATGATGGGCAAGGAATACAGTGTGCAAAATATTTACGGAGGGAGAGGGAGCAGGTTCAGGTTCAATATGGTCAAATGGCTCATTACGGTCATCTCGATTGCAACAAGCAGCTGTGGCCCTCT